CGCATTACCCATGCGCGTTCTGGTTAGTGCAAAATTCTACCATTTACACTGGGAAACAAGGAACACTGTTGTTTTACTGGACTGTGTTTATTATTATTTCTAATATCATTTTAAGAGCGCTGCATTTCTTCTGTTTATGTATTTTGGGACTTTTTATGTGTTTTCCTATATGTTCAGCTGCTTGCATTTTTTATGAGCGCTTACTATTTATCACCATTATTCCCTTTAGCTTTAGGCTTGACTGAACTATAGTGTTCCGTATAGAGTCCGTGAGTTGGATTTTCTTTTCCTTTTCGGACCCACCTGGTACAGTTTTATTCTTCGTTTCCTCTCTCTTGCTTAATTCCTCGGTCTTGTGTAGCAGAATCTTTCCCTCTCTCTAGCTGCTTGCCTTGCTCAGCTTCTTTACACTTTTCTCGTGTCTCCCTTCCACTTATGCTACGCCTATCTTTCTCCTCTTCCTCTCCATCTGTATCCCCTCTGTCCTCTTTATACTCTTTTATCTTCTTTTTCCTCTTTGCCTTCCCTCCCCCCTTTTCCTTTCTCTCCCCTTCCCCCCCCCCCTTTTTTTTACTTCTTTTTCTTTTCTCTCTTCTTCTTCCTTTTTCTCCCTTTTTGGTAGGTTAGTCTCCCTCCCGTGGACTCTCACTGCTGGAATCTGTATTTGTTGCCTTTTAGTGGCTGAAATGGCCCATCTATTACTGTGAAAGTCGTTTCTTTGAATGTCAGAGGCTTGATCACCCCGGAAAAAAAATCCATGGTATTGCTGGACACACAAAGAACACAGATCACATACCTCCAGGAAATGTACTTTTGAGACCCACATATCCCAAAACTCTACAGTGCTCAATTTCCTACGCTCTTCCCCACCTCCTCTAAGACTAAGGTTGTGGCTATCCTCCTATCTAAGAATTTGCCTATACACATATCCGATCTCCTAGCTGACAGAGAGGGTCGATACTTTTTTTTTACAGGGAAAACTACATGGTCGCCCTATTACATTGGCAAACGTGTATTGTCCAAATGAGGGTCAGATATCCTTTCAGCGCAAAGCCACCGACCTCCTCCTTCAGTTTCAAGAGGGTATCTTAATTCTAGGTGGTGATATGAATATTCCTCTTAACCCGCTTCTGGACTCCTGCATGGGTACCTCTATCATTCCGTATAGGGTGCTCAAACAATTGAAACTACAACTGCAGTTACTATCTGTACATGACTCCTGGAGAACACTATATCCAGACACTAAGGATTATACGTTCTACTCAGCACACCATCGTAAATATTCTCACATAGATTATCTCTTCCTCTCACAACCTGATCTTTTGCTTCTCCATTCAGCGAGCATCGAATCCATGTACATTTCGGATCACCACCCAGTGACACTAATTTTGCATTTCCCTGAAACCCAGATCAGACCCAAGTGCTGATCTTTCAACTCCTCTTTTCTTGGTGACTCTATACATTTTGCTAAACTTCAATCCTCTGTTGCGGATTACTTCTCTCAATGCCCCTTTGTCCACTTAAGCCATGAACGCGTGGTTGGCCAAAAAATGCGTACTCCAAGGCGAGTGTATATCTTTGACTGCCCAAAGGAAGAAACAACACCAGACCCATATTTCGGATCTCTTGGTCCGAATTCGGTTCTTGAAACTGGCCCAAAAACAGAGTAGAGTGGAGGAGCTACTCACCACGTTAGTTGACACAAGAAAGGCCCTCCAGGAGGCCCTTGGGGCCAAAATGAGACGGAATTTTGCTTTAGTGTTCAAGATCTATTACGAACAGGCTAATGAAAGTAGTAAAAACTGCTGCTCACTAGAATACTTCAGGGGAGACGGGCTCAAATGACTGTTCACTGTCTCCACCATAAGTTGGGCAGATGTCTTATGTATGAGGATATTGCTCGACAATTTGTAAATTATTATTCTGATTTATATAAGCTTTCTCTATGTGATTCACAGACCCGTTTCCCCTCGTCTCAGGAACAGATTATAGCCGATTTCTTGGCATCTCATGGTATGCCAGCAATTTTGTCTGAAACTGCTTTGTCCTTAGACGATGATATCAAAGCTGACGAATTTCGAACAGCGCTGCAGCATATGAAACCCGGTAAAAGCCCTGGCCCAGACGGTTTTCGCGCACAATACTATAAGAGTTTCACACCAATTCTCGTACCGCATTCTGTGGAGGCCTTTAAGACTATTTCACAGCACCAAAACCATAGTTCACAACTGCTTGAAGCCCATATCACCGTCTGTCAGGGATCGCGGCGGAGAGTGACTCTGCGCATGCGCAGAGCACAGATGCATGCAATCCGGTGGACACAGACCTGTATGGCGGCAGCCGCGCATGCGCACTCGCGATCGCGGGCCGCTCGCCTGGCACCAATAACAGGGCAGGGCGCACTATTTAAACCTGCCCTGCACTGACACCCATTGCCGTATGGTCTTTGCTCCTGTGTTCCTGCTATTTGAGATTTGTTGCTGACCTAACCTGAACTCCGCTGACTTCTCCTGCTCTGACCCCCTGGCTAGTTTGACCTCTCTTCTGCATATCCCCATACCTGATCTGAACTTCTGTTACCGACCCCAGCGAGTGACCTGACTATTCTTCTGCCTGCCGCCTTGTACTACGCTGATCCCACTGTTACTGACCCGGCCCGTTGACCACGCTTACCACTCTGTCATCCAACCATCCATCCTGCTCGGATCTAGTCTTCCACCTCTTCGCGTCAGGCTCTCTACCTGCATATACCTCTGGCGGATACCTCTACCACGGACAGGGGTACTCAGGGGCCGCGACCTGGTCCCTGTCTGCTCCAAGCCCATCCCCACCATCAGGGGCCCTGGTGAACAAGCAGACTGGGGCTTAGACTCCGCGCCCTGGGGAATCCTGTCCTGTGGACTGCTAGAGGCCCTGCTAGTTGGTTACTAACAGAACCATACGGCCATGACAGAGCCTGGAAGAGGACCATCCCCACTGGAAGACATATGTCAGCATTTGGTGACACTAACACAAGCCGTCAAATCACTGCAGGAGGGTTACACACTCCTCGATAGCCGGATTCAGATGTTGGCCGCACCAGCGGCTCGACCTCAGTGCTCGGGTTCCACCGCTGCAGCCGGAGAACCCTCAGAACCTCCCAGCCGGGCAGTAGTCACGTTGCCTCCACCGGAACCTCACATACCGTTGCTGGAATGCTTCAGCGGGGATTGAACGAAATTCAGGGCCTTCCGGAGCGCCTGCCAGCTCTATTTTAGCCTGCAGCCCCGGACATTTTCTTCTGAAGCAGTGAAGGTGGGTTTCATCATTTCCTTACTCCTGGATGAGCCCCAGGGATGGGCCCACCGGTTGATGGAGACCCACTGTCAGGAATGGACTCAGCACTGGTGGTGGGACTCACCTGCCGTATGGGCTGCAGTACCAGGGCTGACCAGTGGGTGCTCTCAGCAGCCAGAAGCTCACTTCTGCAGTCAGCCAAACCTGGGGCTGATTGCAGAAAGGTGTATTTAAGGCATGACCAGGCCTGTGATCTGGGCCTTGGTGTGATGTCAGGAATCTAGGAATGACCAGAAACGTGTGGACTGACACAGGGAAACGCAGGTTTCAGGTATAGTATAATAATACAGTTTATTATTAGCCACCCATATATATATATATATACATATTCATATATATATATATATATATATATATATATATATAAATAAACGCACAGTGAACAAACCAACCTTCCACTAATCTTAGTAGGTGCAGGAACACAGGCGTAGTCAGGGCTGGAGAGGTGGAACGGTCAGGCCGGCCGTAGGGTTCTGTAATGACCGTTCGGTGGTACCTCTAGCGGTCCTCAGGACAGGATTCCCCAGGGTGCGGAGTCTAAGTCCCAGTCTGCTTATTCACCAGGGCCCCTGATGGTGGGGATGGACTTGGAGCAGACAGGAACCAGGTCGCGGCCCCTGAGTACACCTGCTAGTGGTAGAGGGATCCGCCAGAGGTATGTGCAGGTAGAAAGCCTGATGTGAAGAGGCAGAAGGTGTGAGCAGGGACGGCTGGATCCGTGCAGGATGGATGGATGGCAGAGTAGTTAGCGTGGTCAGACGGGCCAGGTCAGCAATGTGCGGGCAGCAAGGTACCAAAGGAGCAGGCAGAGAATAGTCAAGGTCACAAGCTGGGTTCAGTAACTCACGGGCAGCGCGGTACAGGGGATAAGGCAGAAGGATGGTCAGGCAAGCCAGGGGTTCAACAGGAGACGGTCAGCAGAGGTCAGGATCAAGCAGGGTCAGCAACGAAGCAGGAACACAGGATACCAGGTACAGAGGCTCATGGAAAAACATACACCAAGGCCCAGATCACAGGCCTGGTCATGCCTTAAATACACCTTTCTGCAATCAGCCCCAGGTTTGGCTGACTGCAGAAGTGAGCTTCTGGCTGCTGAGAGCACCCGCTGGTCAGCCTGGTACTGCAGCCCATACGGCAGGTGAGTCCCACCACCAGTGCTGAGTCCATTCCTGACAGTACCCCCCCCCTCAAGGAGCGGCCTCAGGACGCTCCAAACAGTCCTTAGTGGGCCAAATGTTCCACCGCCCGGGTCAGGTAACTGGCTGAATATCCTACTGCCGGAGTAAACCGGCTGGCTAGGTTTCCTGCTGGTAGACTTCTCTTTGTGTAGGAGAACCCAGGAAGGCAGGTCACTGGACACAGGATTTCCAGGAGCAGGCTGGGAATCAGTTATTGGCCAGTTTAGCTGGACATCAGGGGCTGGCATGTCGGGCTGCACAGCAGGCAGAGGCACGTCAGCGGGCACCAAGTCATCTGGCACGACAGCGGGCACAGAGTCACCGGGCACCGAGCCATCTAGCAGAACCGCGGGCACAGAGTCACCTGGCAAGTCAGCGGGCACCGAGTCACCGGGCATGTCAGTGGGCACCGAACCATCTAGCAGAACCGCGGGTACCGGGTCACCAAGCTCGACAGCGGGCACCGAGTCAACTGGCACGACAGCGGGCACCGAGTCACCGGGCATGTCAGCGGGCACCGAGCTATCTAGCAGAACCGTGGGTACCGGGTCACCAAGCTCGACAGCGGGCACCGAGTCAACTGGCATGACAGCGGGCACCGAGTCATCAAGAATCAGGTCATGTGGCTCAACAGCAGGCATTGGGTCCTCAGGCATCAGGTCATCTGGCTCGACAGCAGGCACCGAGTCAACTGGCATGACAGCGGGCACTGAATCATCAGGCATCAAGTCATCTGGCTCAACAGCGGGCACCGAGTCAACTGGCACCGAGTCAACTGGCACGACAGCGGGCACCGAGTCACCGGGCATGTCAGCGGGCACAGAGCTATCTAGCAGAACCGTGGGTACTGGGTCGCCAAGCTCGACAGCGGGCACCGAGTCAACTGGCACGACGGCGGGCACCGAATCATCAGGCATCAAGTCATCCAGCTCAACAGCGGGCACCGAGTTAAATGGCACGACAGTGGGCACCGAGTCAACTGGCACCGAGTCAACTGGCACGACAGTGGGCACCGAGTCAACTGGCACGACAGTGGGAACAGAGTCAACTGGCACTGAGTCAACTGGTACGACAGTGGGCACCAAGTCAACTGGCTGAACCACGGAAGGCGGGTTCTCAGACGACAGGCTGACCGGTTTGGATACGGGCAGGATGGTACAGCGAGTGGGAGCAGGGGACTGACATGTGGTAGATAGCAGGGTATACTGGGCTGTCACTGGGGGTGCTGTCGGGAATGCAGGAAGAGAGCTTTGAACAGAGGAATGATGAGAAGCAGGACTGGTTTGTTGCAAGCTGACTGAGGCTAGCTGTAACAAGTCTGACCATGTCTGCAGTAAGGGTTGGACAACGCTCAGCTTACACAAGGCCTGTCTGGTCGAAGATTGCACTGCGTTTATACACTTCTTTAGCACATGTGGTGAACATGCTGAATAATGCTCCAAGAAGCAATCCGGATCATCCTCCAACAACCATACCAGTGATATTATTTGACTCACCCTGAATGGAGGAAGGAATTCATCCCTGCTTTCAGGGGTACTAGATGAAGCCAACTCAACACAAGCCTGAATCAATGGTTGCACCTCAGAGAGCTCTAGGTCCTGACCTACTAGGGAATGAGCGACCCGTATGCACTCTAGCAGCTGATCCCTGGTATACTCCCGCAGAGTCTGATAGGCATATTCTCTGTCATCAAAGACTAGCATGGACAAATATATAACCTCATCAGGATGCATCCTTCACAACAAGTCAAGATGGCTTCCCTGTGCAGTCACTTCTGGTCAGGAAAGGCCTTGGTGTGATGTCAGGAATCTAGGAATCACCAGAAAGGTGTGGACTGACACAGGGAAATGCAGGTTTCAGGTATAGTATAATAATACAGTTTATTATTAGCCACCCAGATATATATATATATATATATATATATATAAACGCACAGTGAACAAACCAACCTTCCACTAATCTTAGTAGGTGCAGGAACACAGGCGTAGTCAGGGCTGGAGAGGTGGAACGGTCAGGCCAGCCGTAGGGTTCTGTAATGACCGTTCGGTGGTACCTCTAGCAGTCCTCAGGACAGGATTCCCCAGGGCGCGGAGTCTAAGTCCCAGTCTGCTTATTCACCGGGGCCCCTGATGGTGGGGATGGACTTGGAGCAGACAGGAACCAGGTCGCGGCCCCTGAGTACACCTGCTAGTGGTAGAGGGATCCGCCAGAGGTATGTGCAGGTAGAAAGCCTGATGTGAAGAGGCAGAAGGTGTGAGCAGGGACGGCTGGATCCGTGCAGGATGGATGGATGGCAGAGTAGTTAGCGTGGTCAGACGGGCCAGGTCAGCAATGTGCGGGCAGCAAGGTACCAAAGGAGCAGGCAGAGAATAGTCAAGGTCACAAGCTGGGTTCAGTAACTCACGGGCAGCGCGGTACAGGGGATAAGGCAGAAGGATGGTCAGGCAAGCCAGGGGTTCAACAGGAGACGGTCAGCAGAGGTCAGGATCAAGCAGGGTCAGCAACGAAGCAGGAACACAGGATACCAGGTACAGAGGCTCATGGGAAAACATACACCAAGGCCCAGATCACAGGCTTGGTCATGCCTTAAATACACCTTTCTGCAATCAGCCCCAGGTTTGGCTGACTGCAGAAGTGAGCTTCTGGCTGCTGAGAGCACCCGCTGGTCAGCCCTGGTACTGCAGTCCATACGGCAGGTGAGTCCCACCACCAGTGCTGAGTCCATTCCTGACACCCACAACCCCCACCTAGAGACCGTGACCGACCTTTTCAACGCGATGGCAGTCCTCTATGACGATCCGCAGCGGGCAGCATCCGCAGAATCGGCCCTGTATTCTCTCCGGCAGGGTCGCCAGGCAGTGGAGGAGTATGCATCTGAGTTCAGACGCTGGATGGGGGACACCCGGTGGAATGATGCCGCATTACGCCACCAGTTTCGCATGGGCCTGTCTGAATCACTTAAAGATGAGTTAGCCAGGGTGGGCCTGCCCGACTCTCTGGAAGATCTCATCACCCTGGCCATACAGATTGACCGCAGACTGCGGGAGCGCAGGTTAGAGAGGTCAAATCCAGGACCCACATGGGTACTATCCCGCACTCCAGTCCAAATCCTGTCAGGAGGAGGCTCAAACTTGGATCCTGGGGGAACGCCAGAACCTAGGCAATTCGGGCGGGCACGACCATCACTATCAGTGGAGGAACGCCAGAGACGATGGGCAAACAACCTATGTCTATACTGCGGGGGAGCAGGTCATGTGGTGCGAAATTGGGTAAGTGTGCTTCCATTTTTTCTACTGTTTCCTCTAAACGTAGTAATCATGCTAATTACTTAGCCATACCCGTGTCTTTTCAACTCCCAGGGAGAACTGTGTCAGCAACAGCAATTATCGATTCTGGGGCTTGTAGTTGCTTTATTGATCTAGATTTTGCCACCCAACAGAGGATTCCTCTCCAGATCAGGGAACACGGGCTTAATATCTTTTTGGCAGATGGGTCACGTATTAAGTCAGGGCTGGTGGACCGGGAGACCCCACCTATCCGTACTACAGTGGGTAACCATCACCGGGAGCTCCTTTGTTTGGATGCTATCACATCCCCTCTGTTTCCAGTTATCCTGGGACTCCCGTGGTTGCAGGCACATAATCCCCAAATTGATTGGAAGACAGGGTCTGTCCAGTTCCCATCATCTTATTGCCAGGAACATTGTCACGGCCCAACCTCTGTGGCTCCCCAGTCGCTCTTCTGTATCGATGGGGACGCCAAGCTTATCCAGATCATCCCCCCGGCCTACCACGACTACTTAGACGTTTTTAGTAAGCGGGGTGCTGACATTCTCCCTCCACATCGGGCCTATGACTGTCCCATCAACCTTCTACCCGGACCCGAGATTCTGTTCAGACAGATTTTCCCCCTATCAGAGCGAGAGTTGGGGGTACTCAAGGAGTACATTGACGAGAACCTCGAGAAGGGGTTTATCCGCCCCTCCACGTCACCGGCCGGGGTGGGAATCTTCTTTGTCGAAAAAAAAGATAAGTCCCTCAGACCCTGTATCGACTACCGTGACTTGAACAAGATTACGATTAAGAATCGTTACCCCCTTCCCTTGGTCCCGGAACTGTTCCAAAGTTTAAAGACGGCAGCCATATTTACCAAATTGGATTTGAGGGGCGCATATAACTTGGTGCGCATAAGGGAGGGGGACGAGTGGAAGACTGCATTCTGCACAAGATTCGGGCACTTTGAATATCTTGTCATGCCCTTCGGACTGTGCAATGCCCCAGCCACATTTAAGCATTTTATTAATGACATATTCCGAGATTATCTGGACGTTTTTGTGGTAGTTTACTTGGATGACATCTTGATCTTTTCCCCTTCTCTGGAAGACCATAGGGGTCATGTCAGAAACGTGTTGGAACGTTTACGCCAACACGGGCTGTATGCGAAAGCTGACAAATGCAGCTTCGAGCAGCACAGCATTGCATTTTTGTGGTTGATCATCTCCACCACGGGGGTTGCGATGGATCCCCAAAAGGTCACAGCAATCTTAGAATGGCCAGTATCCACAGACAAGAAGGGCGTACAACGCTTCATAGGATTTGCCAAATTTTACCGAAAGTTCATCAAGAACTTTTCAGGCCTCTTGTCTCCCATTACGCAGCTCACCAAACAGGGAACCCGTTTCCGGTGGACGCCCGAGCCTCAAGCAGCATTTGAGACTTTGAAGAAGCTGTTTACTACTGCCCTTATCCTTAGCCATCCTGACTCCTCCCTGCCGTACATTTTGGAAGTGGACGCTTCGGAGAACGCAGTTGGGGCCATCCTGTCCCAATGAAAAGGTACCAAGGAAATTATGCACCCGGTAGCATTTTTCTCTAGGAAGTTGACATCTGCAGAGAGAAATTATGATATTGGTGACCGGGAGCTTCTGGCTATCAAAACAGTGCTGGAAGAGTGGAGATATCTACTGGAAGGGGCCCTACATCCAATCTTGATTTTCACTGACCATAAGAATCTGGAATACATGAGGACAATGTATGTAACAAGTGCAGCGCTCGTAGCTAATAGAGTGAATGGATGAAATACAATATCATAAATCAAATTAAATTCAAATAAATGTAAGAAGTAGTCCCATAAATATAAATAAATCAGGATAATAAAAGGTGACTTCGTTGTCCGGGTAGAGGTGGAAATGAAATGCACACTCACCGGACGCGCATATTAAATGCGCCTAGTATGTAATAATCCTGATCTCAGGTGGTAGGAGGTCTTCCTTCTGTTGGAACCCAGATGAGCTGTCCTTCTCACTCAGATATGCCTGTGTGGTCCTGGTGGGTGCTGTCACTCCCAATGGCCTGGGTGGTAAGTGGCGATCCGTCTTAACAATGGACCTGCAGGCTAGAGTACTCCCCCAGGGGACAACAAGGATACTCCCATAGTGTAGTAGGTTAAATTTTATTCAAATAAAAGGTGCATCACATAAAAAGTGCAAAACCGTTGCAGACAGTTGTCTGTAAGAGGGCTGACCAGCTGGTAATATGTAATGGCCGCAGACGAATGGGCAGACAGAAAGGACAAACCAGACGCTGGAACAATACTTGCGATGTTACACGTCTTTTCTCCAAGATGACTGGTTGGCACTCTTGCCATTGGCGGAGTTTGCGTATAATAACGCGAAGCATTCTGCTACGGGGCTATCCCCCTTCTTCGCTAATTACGGGTTTCACCCCACATTTTTACCTGACCTGATTCCGGAAAGTCCGGTCCCGGCTACACAGAATATGCTAGATTTTTTCTCCACCAATAACAAGGTACTTCAAGAAGCCATGTCGAAGGCCCAGGAGGACAGTAAGAGGGCCTTCGACAGGAAAAGAAGAGGTGAACTAAGCTTGCAACCAGGAGACCAGGTCTGGCTAGCCACTACCAATTTGAGGATGTCTTGCCCCTCGAAAAAGCTGGGATCAAAATTTACGGGCCCATTCCAGGTGAAACGGAGGATCAATGAGGTGGCATATGAGCTGGCACTCCCAGGAACCTTCAAGATTCACCCAGTGTTTCATGTGTTGTTACTGAAGCCAGCAACGCCAGATCCCTTCCCGGACCAAAGGTCCAGGCCTCTGGAGCCTATAACCATCAACG